AATCATAGGCTAAAAGATTTTCAGAATTTTTACAACTCTTTTGCTTTAGACCATCTACAAATGTTAAATCTTAAAATAAAATGTTAGGATTAACACTGCATCTTTCGGTGCCAAAATTAGTTGAAAAATATCGGCATATCGGATATCAGCAAAAATCCAATATCGTGCATCCCGACTCACTAAGAATGTTATTTACTAAGTTTGTTTACCTTAGTTTTACTGTATGCATGCTACCATTTCATTCAACATAGCAATAGATTTTATAGCCATTCAGTCATTAGGAATTAGCTAAGGAAATAAATAGAATTCTAGTCTAACAGATCCGCAAGGTCCTCCCAAGATCATCCCACGGGTGCACCTGAAGTGCCCACCCACACGTTAAAGCTGAAGTAAAACACAAAAATATACACAATTGCTCATTGCTTATGGTATATCTTTATCAATAGTCTGTATCTGGGTGAAAGGATCAAAATAATTTTGTGACATGATGTCATATGCAGCTGACCTACTTGCTCATGGGGTGAGCTGCATCTGTCCTCATAAAAAATAAACAGAGAAAGTGCAGTGCAATTAAATTGCAGAAGTAAGATAAAGGTGTTATTCCAAATCAGCTGAGGTGAGGTAATGTCATTTATGAATGAGGGCACATGCATCTTTTTAGACACATACATTTAATAAAGATATGCTAGAGGAATTCCTGCAGTCAGTAGGAATGACCTTGATCATTTTACAATACAAGATTGGAGGTTAAGAACTGTGATCTTTAAGCATGTTTCCTGGCCACCAGATTTAAGATGAATGCTAGGCTACATTACCAATAGGTTAAGGCTTTAATTTAAGACGTTTCAACCAAGTTTCAAGTTATTTATTTATTTATTTATAAGTAAGTGGAAGTTTTATAAGTTTCCAAAACGTTTTATTTGTTAAGTATTCCGTCATTTTTCGGAGTAATTTTCCACTGATATGACTGACCACATTTCCCACAATGCATGAGCGCAGCTCTTGCGTATTTCTTCCCAGACTTGCACGCATGCGCAGTGCCTTTGACCTACACAGTCGCAGGAGAAAATGGCAGCGCTTGGAGTGGGGCTACAGGTATTAAATATATTTATTATAATAAATTATATGAATATAAATATAGACATGTAAATGCATGTAAATATTTTCAAAATATATACTGTGTGTGTGTATTTATATATACATAATAAATATACACAAAATGCACACATTATGCAAATAAAAACTTTTTTGTTAGCGATTAATCTCGATTAATCGTTTGGCAGCACTAATATATATATATATATATATGTATGTGTATTCTTACCATAGTATGTTTGTTCAGCCCCCTATCCAGGTCTATGGGGTGGAGGGACGTTATGCTACTGCCCTGTTCTCTGCTGCCAGCAAGCAGAAGAGCCTCGATAAGGTCGAACAGGAACTTGGCCGTGTGTCTGTGAGTTACACTTTGGATTTGCGTCTCTTTGTTTCTGCTTCTTTTCCATAATGCTTCAATCAATTCTGGCTCATCTTTCTTTTTCCCACATCCTAGAGCCTGATTAAGGATCCTAAGCTGTCAAGTATCGTGATGAATCCTCATGTCAAGCGCAGTCTCAAACAGAAGACTTTCATTGATGCTTTGACTAAGGCAAAACTCTCCCCCATCACCATCAACCTCATCAGTGAGTTTCCAACCAGCCTTTATTTTCACTAGGTTGATTCAATGAGAACTATGATGTGATTAAAAAAAGTTTGCACATATTAAGTGAAAAGTGTGTAGAAGAGTGACTTTGACATTGGGAAAACATTGAAATGCATGATAGTTGCCTTTAGAAAATTATGATAGTAATTTATAGGTTTGAAAGTGTATTATCTATGAATATTTACAATTATTTTTGTTTACAGATGTCCTAGCAGAAAATGGCCGCTTGACCGTGACCCCTGATGTCATCACAGCCTTTGGCAAAATGATGAGTGCCCACAGAGGAGAGGTCACATGCTCAGTCACCACCGCTCAGGTAAGCTGTGTAATACATTTATGCACAAATACATATATCTGTGCATTCGCATGTTAATATCACTACTAAAGTAAATGTTTTGTATTAAAATATTTTCTGGTTGCGTAAAACTTTTTGAATTTGTTGTTCATTATTCAAGTTTTGAATTAAACCTGTGTGTCTGTGAACAGCCTCTGGATGAAGCTAATCTTGCAGAGCTGAAGGTGGCACTGAATGGTTTCCTGGCAAAGGGAGAGACCATCAAACTTGAGACCAAGGTAGGAGGGCTTGTTCCCAAAAGTGGGCTTCATTTTATTCTAAAGTGCTGATTTTAAAATGAAGGGTGTTCAGGTCAGCTTAATGTTTTGATTTTGTTGCTCTTTAAAGTTTGAAAGGATGACAATCTTTATTTTCTTGCATCATTTCTAATGTCTTATAGCAGAGAAAGAGTGCTAAAATGTTTCCTGCTCATCGAGTTAGAATTAGGCAAAACCTTTTTAAAATGTCCTTGTCTTTTTATTGTCTTGTTTTGTCTTTTGTCATTTGCTCGTATCTATTTTGTCATTCGCTCATCCTTGTGAAATAGAACGCACAATAAATGATTGTTTTTATCAAAAGGATTTCTGATATTTATTGTAATGTATTACAGATGTTTAATGTGTTTCTTTTCCTCACAGTCTGATCCTTCTATCCTTGGGGGCATGATCGTGAGCATTGGTGATAAGTATGCGGACATGTCTACCAAGACAAAGATCCAGAAGCTCACCAAGCTGATCAGGGAGACCTAAGTCCTGTGGACTAACCAGACCTAATCAAATCAAGATTCAGGGGGTGAAGAAAGATCAACCTCTCTCTGCTATTGTGTAGTTGAATTACCTTGTCCAGTTGTGTTCAAAATAAATATTATGTAACATTTAAACTTGAGTGTGTTATTTTTAAAATATTTGTTAATGAAATATGGCATGATACCATCTTATTTCCAGTGAATATGTAATGACCTCAATACCACAGTACCTAAACTAAATTAATACAGTTTATGGGTGATAATGCAAATTTATGCTTTAATTGTTGTGAAAAAAATGTTGAGGGTAAAACACTAAAGATTGAAATTTTTGTATTTATTTATTTATTTTTGCTGCATTGGCTACACTATATTAATAAACACTATATTTATATTGGGTCCTTTTTTGGTTTTCATATGTTTAATTACTCCCACCTTGACCTGCTAAACATTTTGGTCTCTAAATGTTTTATAAAGTAGGTTTTAAGATTATCCACTGACTTCGCTTCAGCAATTGTAGTTGGTAATTTCTCTGGGTTTTCAAATATTTCTTTCATTATTAAAACAGTTTATTTAGGTATTTTTTTTAAATAGACCTTTATCTAAACTATTCCTTAGATCATAAATTTTAACTTTAGTTTGAATCGGTTTGCTTTCGTTGTCAACCCCAGCATTTTTCTCATGGTCAATATTTTGATTTTATGATAAACACAAGAGGGCGCCAGCAACTCAAAATTTGCACATGGAATTTGATCAGTGCATTGAAGTGGTACTCATTCAAATGAGCTTATTATTTCTGTACTTTCCACAAATGTTTAATATTCTTGTCATATCTAACAAGTTTTAACCCCAGAATAAGAGTGAAAACTTTCGCGCTATCTTCAAATACGTTAGAACTCAAACAGTGCACAGGATAAGAGCTGCTTTGCATAACCACATAAAAATAAAGGGCCTAGGGCCACCTATTGAGCTATACTATTCAGTATCTGGATAGCCATTTTTCAGGAGCAAAACAGTTTTGTTACTGAGAGCTTAATTTGTAACTCAAATTAAGACCAGTGTTTGCTGTGGATCTGCAGCAAACAGTGAAAATATCTTATGGTTGTTTCTTTATTTTATCTCACTGGGTCAACTTGTGTTATACTCATTAATGCATTTTCTCATATAGCCTGCTATACTATTTAATGTTATAAAAAAGTATTTTATGCTCACTAAAGCTGCATTTATTTGATTAAAAATATAGCCTACTATACTAGCTATTTAATGTTAAGAAAACGTTCATGCTCACTAAAGTGCCATTTATTTGATTCAAAATATTAATGGATTAAAAACAGTAAAATTGTGAAATATTATTACATTTTAAATAACTGTTTTCTACCTGAATATATTTTAAAATGTCATTTATTCCTGTGATGGCAAAGCTGAATTTTCAGTAGCCATTACTTCAGTCTTTAGTGTCACATGATACTTCAGAAAGCATTCTTATATCCTGATTTGGTGCTCAAGAAACATTTCTTAACATCAACTTTGAAAACCAAGATACAGTTTTTTCAGAATTCTTTGATAAATAGAAAGTTCAAAACAACAGCATTTATTTGAACTAGAAATCTTTTGTACCATTATTTCTTTACTCTCCCTTTTGATGCATTTAAAGCATAATTGCTGAATAAAAGTATTAATTTCTTCTTCGTTTTCAATAAATAAAAGTGAATTATATGCACAATATAAATGTCACATTTATATAATGTTACATATCTGTCTGACAGTCTCTCTCTGTTCATCTATCCATGTTTTCAGTTGATGTTCATTCAGCTACTTCTCATATTATACGCCATTTATGGTGTAACGAGGCCTTGGTAAACTATGCTTCATAATCTGTCATGCGTTGTTATTATCACTAATGTACTGATGGTCAGCCGCCTCAAAATGTGACAGCTTGGTGCAAGAAAAGTAAACAGATGACATCCTGGAAGATACCAACGAATGGGGTGAAGCTGGCAAAGAATGTAGCTGTCTAATAAATACCCTGTTTTCGCCCAGCACTAAAACGGATACTAAGTTCAATGTTATTACAAATAACTTGTCTTTATTTAAACGAACTCAATATAATTTAGGCATGCAATAAAAGCGTATAATACTTTATGTCACCGCCACACCCCCGTGTCATCGCCGCGTGGTTCGTCCCCCTCCTCCCATCAGGAAGTGTACACAAATGAACTGTTTGGTGGAAATCAGCTGAGCGATTCAATTCTTGCTGGCTACAGCTTTGAATATTAATATGGCGTATCTGCCCACTCTTGCGCTCGCCTTTTACTGTTTTTAAACTGTCGATTTATCTCAAATCGTAAGGTTATTTGGCACAAGACCCTGTGATCTGTCGACCATCCTGTTTTGCTGCAGTGAGTGAGTCATTCAGTTCTCACAATAGCATCTGACATGTAGCCTATTGAATGTCATACAATTTTAACGGGTAGTTTATTGTAAATGCTGTACTAATAGTATTTCTGTAATCAAGGCTGTAGTTCAAAAAGAAGATTTATATGTGATGATGGATGCTGCATATTATTGTCCCAGCACTAGGTGAGACAGGTTTTGTTAAAAATGTGTACTTCTTTAGTTTAATTGCATTTTATCATTTTTATTTAAATGCATTCAACCATCCAACATAATGCCACACGTTTTCCATTCCACACCTATAGAAAATGTGCAATGATTAAAGGTCAAAGAATGAGGGTTTAATAGTCTTTGAATATGCATATTGGATATGATGTTCTGTGTGGTAGCCATGAAGTCACTGGATGCAACAAGGACAGATTTGAGTTACATAACAGGTCTCTGTATGTTGTGTTGCTTCACTGTTGCTTGAATGAAACTGTTGCTCAAATATTGTGAAAAGAGTTTAGCAAAACCCCTCCTTTATAACTGCTGAAATTAAGGCCTAGGTATTTATCACATGCACATATATATCCGTTTGCTGTACATTTCTCTGGCTCCCAGTGCACTGTTTTCACTGGTATGCTTCTAAGAGGAGCACGATTAATGACCAGATCAATAGACCAATATCATTCTGTGCAACTTTGTACCATAAATGCATGGCCTCAGGAGAGCTGGTTGTGTATATGCTTTGTAGAGTGGCTGACAAATCAATTCTGTCTCCTTGCTTTAGAAGGTGGAGAATGTTCACAATATGCAGTGCATAAACTGAGTACTGTAAATGGGCGATGATGACATTTACAATAACATTCAAAAGTTTGGGGTCAATACAATTTTTTAAACAAGTACTTTTATTGATAATTAAGCTTATACATTTATTATGCAGAGAACACATTCAATTGTTTACAAGTATCAGTAAAGACATTTATAATGTTAGAAAAGATTTCTATTGCAAATAAACACTGTTCTTTTGAACGCTCTATTCATCAAAGAATCCCAAAAAATGCATCAGTATGTATATAAGATGTAGAAACTGGATGATAATAATAACACTGTACACTCAGAAAAAAATGTTCAAAAGCTGTGACTAGGGCAGTACCTTTTTATGTATTTTTAAGGTACCAATTAGCACTCTTTAGGTACAAAGATTTACCTTTTGAAAAGGAACCACATCACTGACTATTTTTGTACCTTATTTTCTGAAAGTGTATCTGTAATTTTTAAGACATAAATAACATCCATCATCATTTTAAAGGCTTGTTGTTGCTTCCTTGCAGCCTTTTTAATGAGCTGCTGTTATAATGACCGTAAGCTGCTGATGATATTAAGAACATAAGCCAGGATAATTGTGAGTGTTTGTGCTTGCTATATTGGCTTTGTGCCTCCCCCTGCAATACACTAAATCTCTTTGATGTGTGAATGAAGTGCAGGAACTGAAATTAGTACTTGATATTCAGCAGCTTATTAATTGGACTGTAATGAGTAAATCCATCATGGGAGTTGTCTTGTACATTTTTGGGTGGTAAGAACAGAAAGCTGAACAGGCAGTATTAAGAGTACTAGTACACATTAATCAGATTGTTTAGGTGGGTTTGTGTTCAACAGGCACGTGTTTTGGGGCTTGCTTCTCTCTGTTAAATCCTCTGTAAATCTCTAGATGCCCATTTGATGCTCATAGCATCAGATTGAACAAATGTAAGTGTCACAGTATGTGTTTGCATGCATGTATGTGTGTGTGTTCTCAGGGCTTTTATCACCGGGAGCTAACAGATGTCACCATATCTAATCGGAGACCATAATCTATTTTATACTGTCTGTTGGTTTTGGTGTGTGTTTATTTCTTATGGCCAACACAGAATAATGCAGATGCGTCTTCTGCAATTATTTTGTCAATATGTCTTCTGACTGCTACTGGTTATGTTCAGAGTCATTGCTCTGCAATTATTCCATTCATTTCCACCAGTTTGACTCATTGAGGCTGATTTGCAGATTTGTGAATATGATTACATTGACAGTGTAATCAGCCAATCATAGTGCTATGGATGCACTGACTCCTCTCATGTGATTTGTTGCCTGTATTTTGCTGTTACCCCCTGCATTCATGGCATGTATTAGAACCTCTGTGAGAACAATGAGCTCAAGGGAGGCAAAAGAGACGCTGTGTCCCTCTGTAATCCGCTGACGTCTCTGTTGGACAGTATTACTTTAGAAAAAATGAGTGGATTATATGCTGCTTGTTTTGATTTATTTTTGTACCGTCATTTATTTATCATCCAGTTGTTTTTCAGGAGGCAGTGCCACCCTTGAGAGAAGACACCCCTGATATGTTTACACTACCATTTAAGAGTTTTTTTTTTTAAACTGAGAAATTGAGTACAGTAATGGCTGCTGAAAACATAAAATGATGGAAACTGTCATTTTAAATTGTTCACAATTACCGTTCTTCTTATATTTTTAATCATATAAATGTAGTCTTGGTGAACATCAGAAGCTTACTGACCCCGAACATTTAAACAGCAGTATAAATTGTTTCAGGCATGTGTTTACAACAATATACTCTGTTGCCATAGTGTCATGTTATAGACTTGGTATACACTTGGTTTACAATTGTCCATTTACTGTGGCATGATTTTGTTCAGCATCATTTAAATAGTACACCATCATGTCACAATGAAAAGCTGCTCTCTTCTTGCTTTTAGGTTTGGTTTAACTTCAGCACAAAATCTGGAAAATTGTTCATAATTGAGTTGCTAGGGTTGCTTACTCTTCTTACTCTGTGATTTCTAGGAACTAAATATGTCTTGGTTCTCTCTTTCCATTTACTGTATTGAATTTTTTCACCCATGTATTGGGCATGAGGTAAAAATCATAAGCCTGATTGCTTAGAAAAGTGATAGCACACCTCTCCTTAATAAGCCACATATGTTTTGAAGTATAGTTTATGTGTGCAGCACACAGTTTAATACTTAAGGTTAGTAGTTTGTTCAAACTCATACTTGCCTTAGTATGCACCACTGTAGCTATTAACCCTGCTACATTTCTATTTAAGAAGTTGTTTGTCATTAGCAGGATTTCACCCTACTTTGATGCATTTGTTTCTTTGTGCACTCATGAGTTGTGATGCAGGATTTCTCCTGAGAAGTCTGTTTTGTTTCATAGACAGATGCTAAGCATGCTGGGACGTGACTGAGGCATGATGGATCCTGAGGAAGCCGAGCTTCAGAATGACTACCGTTATCGCAGTTACGCAGCTGTCATTGAGAAGGCGCTGCGGAACTTTGAATCATCTAGTGAATGGGCCGATCTCATCTCCTCACTAGGAAAACTCAACAAGGTAAAGTCTGGAGAAAACAAATCAATACACTTAGGTGAGCATTCGCTTCAGTTGAAAAACAGAGTCAATATGAGCAACTTTTTAAAAACTCTTTCAGCTCTTTACTGATTCCTTTTTTAAAAAGCTCAGCAGAGACAGTTTTTATGTTTCAGAGAAATCAATTTATAAATGTCTTACCTATAGTTTCACATTAAACTAGTAGAGAAGTATTTTAGAATTTAAAAAGGCACACTTTGGCTTTACTTCCCTCTGCAAGTAGAGGAGGAAGTTTGCTTATTTCAGTCTAAGAAGTGAGAGACTTTCCTTTATAATCTTCAGTTCTGTTGAATAAAGGCATAGGGTATAACATTACTGCTTGACCTCAAACACATCACTCATGTTCAAAGTGCAGATGATTTGAATAAGTTGAACAGGACATGTGTAAACTGTCCTTAAGATTAGACAAATACTGTACTTTTCATCTCAACCTTCCTCTTCCTTTTTTTCTAAACACATTTCAATGTTTATGTGCAGATGTGAAAAACCTGGTGTCTTATTAAAATTTCTCTCTTTCTCTCCCTATCCTTTACATGGCATGTGATATTTTTGTTTGCTCAGTGGGACTTTCCGGATATTACACGAGTTACAAAACAACATGGATAGGAGTGATATCTATTAGGTTTTATGTATTTGTTTCAGATATTTGACATCTAAGGTGATGCTATGATCAACAGTCTCCTTTTTAACATACTCAAAGTATGTTCACTTTGTATATCAGGTGACATTATTGATGGTATGTCTTGTAAAACATGTTTCAAGAGCTGTGCAATAACAAACCAAGCCTAGTTCCTCCTCTGAGATCTTGTTGGTAGTTTGTTTGAAACCTGTTCAGCAAACGTGGTTGCTGAGTGAGATATGTGTTGAAGTGCGGAAAGCTAGTAACTTAGATTGACAGTCATTTTTTTACTGATGTAATCAATCTACAATTAGCCTTGTTTTAGTGGTATAGTATGTGTATGTATGTACAGTCATTTTCAACTATTTTATATAAACACTACCTTTCAAAAGTTTAGAGTCGGTAAGATTTTTTTTTTTATATATATATATATGTAGATACCTATAAAAAATGATTTTAAAACTTTGACCAGTCAGTATAATTTTGCAGTTATTTACACCATCCATCCTGCTCTGCTCTTCCATTCTTTGTGTTTCTCAGGCTCTCCAGAGTAATCTAAAGTACTCGCTGTTACCGCGGCGGCTGATCATCGGGAAGCGTCTGGCTCAGTGTTTGCATCCTGCCCTGCCCAGCGGCGTCCATCTCAAAGCACTTGAGACCTATGAGGTCATTTTCAAAATCATTGGCACAAAATGGCTAGCCAAGGATCTCTTCATATACAGGTTAGTGTCAATGATAAACACTGGGTGAATCCTACATAGAAATGTGAAGGTCATATTTCACCCCAAAATAAAAAAAAAGAAAATTAATACTTTTTTTTTTTATATTCATGACAAATAAGCACATTTACTGCATTACTTTGCAGTGCAGAAAATGTTCACTTACATTAATATCAGCACAAGTTAATATGTACTATAAATGTATTAATATATTTTAAATATTAAAGTATATTTAAAGTGAATTAATAGTATCTTATAATAATATTAATGATTTTTTTTACTGTAATAATGAGAACTGATACAAAATAGGCAAACACACATTTTGCATTTTTTAAATATTTAAAATATAACCCCATTTTGTTAACAGATTCACTTTCATAAGCAGTTATGGTGGTATTTTTGTGTTCATGTGTATACAGCTCAGGACTGTTCCCATTGTTGGGTCATGCAGCGATGTCGGTGAAGCCAGTTCTGTTGACGCTGTATGAGCGGTACTTCCTGCCTCTTCAGAGGGCGCTGTTACCCAGCCTGCAGGCCTTTATCATGGGCCTACTGCCAGGACTAGAAGAGGGCGCGGAGGTCTATGAGAGGTGCAACTTAACACCAGACAATAAATGATTCTCATGGTGACACCTCAGAGATTTTATCCTAAACTTTATTAATATTTCTACAACATGCTCATTATTGTACCCTGAACTACTTTCACTACAACTGTGCCTCAATTAATCTGTAACCAATTGAATGTTAAGTGAGATTACATTGATTAACTTGGAGTAAAAGTATGCATCCTTATTGATCTTAAAATACAAGCTCTTGTGTCACTGTTGTAAGTGGCCCAGCAACAACATTTTAAAATATTTTTGAATAAATCCTTTGAAATTATCTAAGCACATGGGATATCTAAGCACTTTCATAGACTTAGATTAGTCAAGACATAAAGTTTGTCAGAGAATATGGTGGATGGATGCCAACGTGGAAGGTCAGAAAAAAGGCAAGCTTTAAAAAAAAACATGGACTAAACATTGATTAATGTTATAAGCTACTGTTTGAAAGTATTGGAAATGTTACATTGAAAATGTTAAAACCCCCCATATTATTTAAACAATGTTACTGGAATAGATTCTGTCATTATTTGCTCACCCTCATGTTGTTCCAAACCTGTATGAGTTTCTTTCATCTGTTGAGCACAAAAGATATTTTGAAGACAAAAATATGACATGAGCGTGAATAAATGATGACTGAATTTTGATATTTGGGTGAACTATCCCTTTAAGAAAATGCTGCGTTATCATTACAGCACTCATTATTGTTCTTAACTGTCTTTCTTCCTGTCTCAGGACGGATGCATTGCTTGTGAAGTTGTCAGTGTTGGTGGGTCAGTCTGTGTTTTATGGGGCATTGTGGGGTTCATTGCTTATATGTCCTCTGGTACGGCTCCCAGCCACCCTCTTCATCGTCGCACACTTTGACCACTCAGTCACTGCTCGAGAACAGAAGTATATGCTTGGGACAGACCACAGACTAGTGGTGAGTGTGTACTCTACTTTACAGACTGTACTTTATTTCCTCACAGCCAGACGTTTGGTTCAAATTACACATGGTGTCTAACTCTGACTAAGGTCTGTTGTTTTAAAGGAGTTGCGTAACTGAAATGTACACCTCCCCATCTCTCTGCTCCAGGTGAAAGCTGTTTGTCTTGCCTTACAAGACTCTAATGTTCTGGTCCAGAGAAACATGCTGGAAATCCTTCTCTACTTCTTCCCCTTCACTACCTGCCAGGTTATCCTTCTTTTTCTTTCTTTCTTTAATTCCATCTACATTTGTGTAACCAGTCATCTTGTCCCAGACCACCTGTGAAATATTTTATTAAAATAATCCTGTCTGTAGGATCCTGAGGAATGTGCTATTCCACTAAATCAAGATGAGCTGATCAGTGTGGTGTCTGCTGCCTCACTCACCCTGCTCAGGAGAGACATGTCTCTGAATCGACGCCTCTATGCATGGATGCTCGGTATCGCTGACAAATTTCCAGAAAATTACACAATACCACAGAAATACTGTTTCATAAAATAAATGGAATTTATCTATTAAAAGAATAGTTAGGCTCAAAATTGAAAAGTATTGAATGAGTGATTCTGTGTTTTTTCAGGCTTAGACATCAAAGGAGGAATGGTGGCTGCAGACTCCAGTCGCTTTAACACTGTGGAGCAATACACTGCATTCTACTTCAGTACACATTCCAGAGAATTACTGGTGCAGGTATAGAAGATAACACACTCACTCGACTCAACTCAAATTACATTACATAACAGCTTAGTCAATGTTTTTCAATTAGAACTACAGGGTCACACTTTATTTTAAGGTTTAATTCTCGCTATTAACAAACCATTGACTATGACTTTTGTCTCAATAAACTCATAATTTGCTGCTTATTAATAATTAGTAAGGTTGTTGTTAAATTTAAGTATTGGGTAGGATTAGGTATGTAGAATATGGTCATGCACAATATGTGCTTTATAAGCACTTCTAAACAGCCAATATGTTAAAGGGGTCATATGATGCTGCTAAAAAGAAAAATACAACTTAACAACTGATTTGTAGTCATGTCCTCTTTTGGAAGACCAAACAAAGTAGTTTCGCTTTCACAACGAAAAACACAGTGGCCTAGCTTGAGGGGAAGCCCCAGCTTAGCGTGCACTGAGGCCGGGCTAGAGTGAGCTGAGGCGGCGGGGTCGAGAACGGCGAAAGTTGATGTATTCCCTCAGCGACCAGCACAGATCAGCTCTAGGCATGACGAAGCGGATATCGTCCTGTTTTGGAAGACCAAACAAAGTAGTTTCGCTTTCACAACGAAGCACACAGCGTCTTCACGACATGGCTGCAGCGTCAACAATACCACAGTGAGACTAAAAGTTGCGCCTTCTTTCTTTGCATGAACATTTGGGCGGCGTTATGCAAATCTTCCCACATAGTGAGGTAGATATGTGGGGGCGTGTTAGAATGAGCCGTTTTAGGTAGGTGTGGCTGACTCTGAACTTTTATAAAGCATATCTCTTTGGATTTGAGACTTTAGTCTTTGCAACTTTACAGATCTTCTTTATGCATCAAGAGCTTGTAACACTCCAAAGAGAAAGGAAAAATTGAAATCGCATCATATGACCCCTTTAATAATAGGCACGCTAATAAGCAAATAGTTAATAGTGAGAACTGGTCCCTATACTAAAGTGTTACCGAACTGCAGTTCACATTACACATTCCCTATATGTTAGTGTTTGCATTCTGTACATGTATGGTGAACACAACTCCTATTTGACATTTTGTTCATAGGCTGTGGTGAATATTCTGAAGCAGAAAGATATAGAGGCCAACCCAGACAATCTAATAGAGTATCTCAGACCGTTTCGCATCATCATTAGCCTGCTGGACAAATCTGAAATAGGTAAATACACCCACATAGTTCAATTTGTAAAAAGCTTTACTTTACTTATAATTATGTATATCTTTGCATTCTCCCACACACACAGGGCCATTGGTGTTGTCTGATGTGTTGCTAGAGGTGGTCAGAGCTTTTTACAGCTACTGTAAAGTGATGTTGGGAGAGGACAATCTCAACTCCAGCCTCAGTGGCAGCCAACTCAACAGGTCAGAGGGAAGGAATCAATGCTCATTTTTTTTCCCGTAGCTTAACTAGTAGAGAATTGTATTAGCAACACCACTGTCATGGTTTTGATTACCAGAGAACACAAATAATGTCAGGGTCCAGATCTAATACTACACGAGGGTTCAAAATAGAAGTAAAAACCTGCTTTAGTGAGTTAATGAGTGAGGGATAATGTACATTATCCCGAGTTAACCTGACATGGTGATCAGGCTTTTATCATCCTAAAGGGGTTTATTTTACAGTAATGACTGCCTGACTGTACATTATCCCACGTATTACTTTCCCATTTACCAAATAAATTTGAACTTTGTTTATATGTGGTTGCAGAGTGCTAAGAAACATGTGAAACTATCACAGTGTTCAAAACTGGTTGTCAGGGATAACAGTCATACAGGTGCATCTCAATAAATTAGAATGTCATGGAAAAGTTCAACACAAGTTTCACAATTTGAGTTGAATTACTGAAATAAATGAACTTTTCCACGACATTCTAATTTATTGAGATGCACCTGTACATCCAGTTTAATGGTTTATTATAGAAACCTATTTGACTGCAAAATGCTGCAACTGGCCAATCAGATCTAAACCCTGTTTGAACCTTAACATACTAATGAAATGTATAATTTCAATTTGCTGTAAGTGAATATACAGTACTATTCAGAAGTTTGGGGTAAGTAAGATTTTTATTTATTTATTTTTTAAAGAAATTAATACTTTTATTTACCAAAGATGCATTAAATTTATCAAAAGTGCCAGGATGGCGCTTTCAAATAAAAGCTGTTCTTTTGAACTTTCTGTTCATCAAAGAATCCTGCAAAAATGTATCACAGTTTCCATAAATATATTAAGCAACACAACTAATGTATTAAATATATTAAAACAGAAAACAGTTATTTTAAATTGTAAAAATATTTTACAATATTACTGTTTTTATTGTATTTTTTTATCAAATAAATGCAGCCTTGGTGTACATAAGAAACTTCTTTCCAAAAGTCGTACTTACCCAAATCTTTTGAATGGTAGTAGAGATGTACAAAAATAATTAATACAACAATGAATGCTGTTTCTGATTGTTCACTTATCTGTGCAGTAAAATCAAGGAGAATAAAAACTCCTCTGAGATCATAAAGACTGTCAATATGCTTGTGAGTGCTATGAGCAGCAATTATCTCTGGGACTACATGACAAGACATTTCCAGATTTGTCTCAGGTAAACACACACAAACTCATACTAAACAGCATTACATGAACATAAATGAGATGATGTGATGATGCCTATTATTATGTTTGTTTCTTAGCTCACTGAGTGATCCAGCTAGGAAGCATCCATCTAAAGACTGGAGTAGCCCTCCCTCAGTGACTGAGCTCTCAACGCTCATTATCTTCCTGTTGGATGTTATTCCTTTGGTATGATCTGGTGGTTCATCTTTGGAAAGATTTTACAAATTTTTGGTCATTTGGTCTCATTCCACTTCTTGGCTTTCTTATTAGGAACTCTATGCGGAGATTCAAACGCAGTATCTGCCACAGATGTTGGGCAGCATGCTGCAATCACTGCGTAGTCACATGACATCCCTTAGCCTACAGGAGCTCACGCAGGCCATGAGAGCATGTTTTAAAGTGCTCAGTAAGACCCAGATGCCTGTGGCTTATATGGACATGGAGGCTGAATCACAGGCACAAGATCTGGAGCAAACACAGGTAAGATTGGTCAGTTTTACTGTACGCTACCATCCAAAAGTTTGGTGGTTGATATGATTTTTTTTTATATTTCTCTTATGATCACCAAGCCTGCATTTATTTTACTAAAGTAAAAACAGTAATATTGTGAAATATTACTACAGTTTAAAATAATAATGGCAAAGCTGAATTTTCAGCAGCCATTACCTTGTCTTCAATGTCACATGATCCTTCAAAAATCACGATCAGGGAACATTTCTAATTATTATCAATGTTGAAAACAGTTGGGCTGTGTAATATTGTTGTGGATTTTGGGGGTACTTTTTGTGATTAATAGGAAATTCAAAAGAACAGCATTTATTTTTAAGATTTTCTGTCACTTAATGCATCCTACTGAAGAATAATAATAATAAAAAAAACTTACTCTCCTCAAACTTTTGAACGGTAGTGTATATTTTTACAACTGCATTTAGTGTATAATTTTGATGATCAGACAATTAAAGTTTAGATGCCATTCATATTATAGTTTGGAAATGTGTGTTTTAAAAGGGCTCTATTTTTGTACAAATACAGATTGTGATGACAGGCAACACCAAAGTCAAGGAAAGTGACCAGGTGAATGGTAACCATGATGACAGCTCCAGTGAGGGCGGTCTAAATGGACAGGAGACACAAGAGGCAGAGCCAGGTGTAGTAGCTCCATACCCTCCTTTGCGCTCTGAAGACAGTGGATTAGGCCTTAGTGCATCTCCATCTGAACAGCACCTCCTACCAGGCCGTAATGGATCAGATGCTGCTTCTGATGTGAACCCTGAAGCAGAGGATGTGTGGAGAAGAGGAGGAACTATAGAAAACATGTCCAAATGTGTGCAGGACATACTGGCATCTGTGATCACAAGGTAATTCAGTGTATACTGTGTGTGCCCAATATGCATATTTTCTGTATGCATGAAATACTGAAATTACTTGGTAGATGTGATAAAATGTGCTTGTACAACCAGAAAATACGGCAAGGAATAATATATTCCAGAATGCAATGCACTTGACTTGACCTTCAATTTGCAGTGTGGTAAATGCACAAAAAAGTGTAATTTTGCATATAATTTGATTAAAAAGAGCAAAATATTTGTTTTACTAAGATAACTGGATGGATTAAATAAAATGTTACATAGTGAGGTCATGTGACAATAATGTAACATTTGGCATTGCATTTTGTATTCATACTACTTTTTAAAAATAGTAAGCCATAAGCAGTGTTTATTGCCCAGTTTCTTGTAAGCAAGTGGTTTGGAACATTTCTGACTCCAGAAAGACTCTTCCAGTTTTTTATAATTTACTAGATAAGGATTATAACGATCGATGATAAGGATTCAAAAAAATTGTTTTTTTCTCAAAAATTCTACTCAATAAATTATTTAAAAGTTTGGCATAACTAGAAAAATCTATATTCATTACAAAAGTTCCCATTAAGTGTTATTAATTACATAGAAGGCACACTTTTAAACCTTGATTTGTCTTATTTTAAATGTTTTAAATGATCCCTCTTGGAAGTTTGTTGAGGCCCCCAGAGGGCCCTATACTAATAGTGTTCTTTTCTGGCCCTGCAACTAGCAGTATGCATGCTCACTGTATTTGCCTTTTCGTTTTCTCTCTCTCTCACTCATGTTCATCTCTCAGGCATTTGTTAGATGTCATGGATCCAGAGAAGAAGAAACAGGAAGAAGCAAATCAGCTAGATCCTAATGCTTCCCCTAGAGGCAGTAAACGGTCTCCATCAAAACGGAAAGGGAGTCGAGACTTGGGTTTAATCAAAGACAGACTTGCTGAGTTCTTCAACCCTAGTAAACTGAGGATCCATGTCCTTCATGGGTCTTCTAGGGATGGAGGTAAAGACCACAGACCAGCCGAGTTGGAGTGGATGGGAAATTTCCAGTCAAAGAGCAAAGGGGAGATAACGGAGTTGTGCCGCCAGGCCTTCACTGTGGTCTGCCAGCTTCTACTGGAATGCACAACATTTCCCGTCTATTTCACTGAGGAAGAGAACCAAGACCTGCACACATCTATGTTCAACAAGACAGGTGAATAAAGGAAATGTATTCCACTGCTACGTTAAACTATGTTTTTTCATGTAGCATGTCACAGCACACAGATTTGTTCTTCTACAAAAAACTGAGCGTTTCTCTCCTCAGGGATTGAGGGAACCCTTCCTGACTGGCTGAGGTCCTTGATGACTCTGTGTTGCCTGACGAAAGACTACCAGGTACAAGTTCACCCAGAAGCGAAAATTCTCTTATCATCTCATTCTCATGTCATTCCAAGGATATAGGACTTTCTTTCTTCAATGGAACATACAAGATGATATTCTCAAAAACCTTGTTGTCTGTTATTTCCACCTTTAATTTCTTTTTAAACATTTCCACACACTCCATCGTCTACCAATGTTCTTAGAAACAGATAATCCCACCCCCAAACCTACACTATTGGTTGAGTCAGAAGTTGATATTGTCAAACAAACAGAACAATGTTTTGATAGCGATGCACTGTTTATATTCAGGATCGTTGGCCTACAAATCGCTTACTTAGAGTTGCCTCTGCACAGTAGGACAAAGTATTTTGACGTGAAAAAATTACCTTTAATGGTTGCATTGCCAAAACTGAATCATTTTCTAATAAATCTTTTTTTTTTATGTGTCTGTAGGTGCAACATGTTGCAATCTCCTCTTTGCTGGAGCTGATCAATCACTCTCAGTCTTTAGCCCTCGTCATTCAGGATAAAAATCAACGTTATAAGAACTCTGATGCAAACCCACTCAGCGGACAGCTGCAAATGGTCACCCTGCCTCCCATCTACCCAGCTGTTCTCAAAACTCTGGAGGATTCCACAGACTTTTACTTGGTAAAACACATTATGAGTAACACGTTGCATTTCGTATAGCTTCATGTGTTGTGAATTGAAAAAATTAGTGCTGTCAAACAATTAATCGCATCCAAAATAAAACTTTTTGTTTACATAATATATGTGTGTATACTGTGTATATTTAAATACATTTTTATATATTAAATATATTTATGTATAATATAAAATATAAGAATATAAATATATAAATGTATATACATTAAAATATTTTCAAAATATATACTGTATGTGTGTGTATTTATATGTACATAATAAATATTCACAGTACACATACATATATTATGTAAACAAAAACTTTTATTTTGGATGCGATTAATCGCGATTAATTGTTTGACAGCACTAGAAAAAATATGATATATAAATGGCTAATTCCAGAGACATTACAAGGGTTAGGAAATCCGCCGGATGGTTTTTTATGATTTTGTGGAAGTCCTGCAATTTAGTTAATAGAACCAATTGCCCTTTTGATAGAAGCATCGCCTATTTCCTTTTATTCTGTGTAGGTGCATGTATGTTAGCTGGACTACCCGGACTAGCATGCTAAGGAATAAAAAACACAACATTTATGATAGTATTATGTACAATTTTAGTGCTAAATTTGCATGTTATTAAAACTTAATATTGACTGGTTTAATTCAGTCTTTCTCCATTCAAGTAGATAGGAGTTGTACTTGTGTGCCTATCGTCTACATAAAAAATAGCTGCCTTCCTTAATATTAGACTTTCTTAATGTGACATTTTTTTCTTCACTTTAATTCTCGTTTTATTTCTCTTGTAGCGTGTATCTCAGGTTTTATGGGCTCAGCTGCACACGGAGTGTAGAGAGCATCACGTATCTTGTGTGGAGCTTTTCTATCGGCTTCACTGCTTGACTCCATCTGCATCCATCTGCGAGGACATCATCTGCTTGGGTTTACTCAGTGGAGACAAGGTCCTGCATTTTCCTCATTTAATACATCTACACACAATTATAAACATTTATTAAAATGTGTATGTGTGTTAGGTTGTGTGTCTGGAGGCGCTCCACAGGTTCTCGGTTTTGTGGCACCTGACACGAGAGATCCAGACCAATCGCAGCACTTCTCTCAGCCGCTCCTTTGACAAGTCATATACATATTTCTTATCTAAACTTTTGCTTACTTCAGTAATATTCTCCCATATTTTTGTGCCATATACACTTAGTGTTCACTATATCTTTCTGTTTTTTCAGGTCTTTGTTTGTGGTACTAGATAGTTTGAACAATCAGGATGGTAGTGTTAGTGCCGCAGCACAGAACTGGTTGGTGCGGGCTCTCTCTCTCAATGATGTGGTCCGTATATTGGAACCGGTGCTGCTCTTACTGTTGGACCCCAGAACACAGAGCTCACCCATACAAAGCATCAAACAGAATCTCTCTGTTGGTATGGAATCAAAACACACACATGCACACATACCAGATCACTACACACAGTGTTACCTATGCTTGAGTTTAGAAGGTACATTTTTAGGTCTGCAGTGTAAAAACTGAAATTAAACAGATTTATGTAGTAAAAATTTGAATCCGTAATTAGCAATAAGAATCCATTTAAATTGATGTAAGGCAGTTATAATATGAAGTTAGTCTCAGCCTCAGACGTCACACCCATGGACTGTTGGCTGAACGTCTGATGCATATGGCACACAAAATTCAATTCAAAACACTTCAGGAGTTTCGAAGTCGGCATCTGATTGGTTGAATTCTACAGATTTCAAGAAAACGTGCATAGCGTTCTTTAACATTCCACCTGGAAACAAAGATGGTATTGGCGCCAAACCCCGTTATGGAAGAAAAAAAACGTTGTGTTTACAACTGTGACAATGAGCGCTTATTAGGATCAACTCAATGCCACATTTTCAAAACTATGTGAAATATGTAAAGTTCATGGCATAGACTCTTTAAAATACATCCGGTTTTACACACCGGTCTGTTATTGTGGGGACATTTCTACGCCCCTAAACATGATACGGCACAAAACGAAACGTGATTGGTTGGTTCACCTGTCAGTCATATGGCCTCTTGGGCGTTCCTAGGCCATTCAAAGCAGCCAAGGTTCCCAGAAACGTCTGACGTCAGTCTGAAGGTCTGGCTACACGAGACTAATATGAAGTAAACTGTAATATACCACTATATCTAAAATAATTAATATAGTAATTTGCACAAATAACATTCAAGACTGAAAGCAATAGCAAGAGTTCATTCTTGTTCTCGCTGTGGGGTCTGATTCTACTTTATATGTGATTTAGGTAATTTAAAGGCACTGACCTGGAGAGACAGATCCATCACAAAAAGTGTTGGAGACAACATAACTCCCGGTTGCCAAACAGAAGAAAGCCTTGTCAGACGCATCACCATAGTAGACCGTGAAGCACTGTGGGCAGAGTTGGAACGAGATCCAGAACTAACGCCTCCAGACTCCCCAACAATGTCCCGGAGTGAGAGCGAAGAGACTGAGGGAGAGGATGAAGAAGAAGAGGAAGAAGAGGAAAGTGAACACACCGAATCTGCAGACACCAGTGTCACTCAGAACTCCACTGAAATCTCCAGCTCAAGCTCCGCCCCTTACTTGCAGCGCCATGATGATGGTAGCGTAGAGGAGGAGGGTGTGGCCAACGGCCTGCAGAGGGTCGATTCAGAACGCACGCAGGTTTCGGATTCGCTCTCAAGTGATGAAGATGATGGTCAGTTGGAGGCTATGGTCAAGTCCCGGTTGCTCAAGCGTCAGCAGGAGAAACGTGAGGCAGTAGATTCGCTGTTCCGCCATGTTCTGCTCTATAAGCAGCAGTACGAGAGCAGCCGAATTCTCTATGCCTTTACTATTTTAGACACCATCCTCCGGACTAGTGCAGGGCCATTTGTGGAGGCTCTCTCCAGTACTTCTCTGGACTGTAGCTCCATTGCCCATCTTAACCTCATCCAGAACCTTCTGCAGCGGCACCGTCAGGCTCAGGACGGTGGCAGCTTCTACGGCCGATTGCAGACCTCAACTCCACCAAGTGGAGCCACTCCTGACCCATCCCAGCCAGCATCTTCTCCTCTCCATTCACCATCTTCTCCTTCCTCTTCATCAACTCTCCTGCTAGAGCTACTCACCTGCCTGTGTATGCGTTATCTCCGCTCTCACTATCCCTCCTATGCTAGCGTTCCCACTCGCCAACTCCAGGCCAATCGGGAGGTCCAGGTGAAAAGTGTGGAGGTGCTGACAGAGTTGATGATCCAGTTGGTGAGGGTGGCCCAGCAAGCTCAAATAGGGGAAGCAAAGGGAACTGCTAGCTTGGAGGCGGTGCGCAACCTTCTTTGGGGCTACAACGTGCAACAATACGTCCTTCTAACGCTTTCCGCCTCCATGTATGTCTGCCAGAGAGCTGATCGGCCAGAACAGCACAAATTGCCTGAAGAAGACCAAGGAGGAGATGAAGGGGAGATCTCAGAAGAGAGCCTGATCAACTTTGGCCGGGATGGGATCTGGGCTGAGCACCCACTTCAGATTGCCCTACTGAAACTTATGAAGGTTCTTATTGTATTGGAGCACCACGTGTGTCCACCACACACCAAAGCACAAGATCATGATCAAAGCAATTCCAACCCACATCGACGTGCAGAACCGCCATCTTCAGCCTTGGCTCGAGAGTGGCAAACAGCTGTGATGTTCCAGCAGTCCATCAAAGCAGTGCGTTACGTAGCCAGTCAGCCTATCACCGCTCAGGGTATGTTTGTGTCAGCAGCAGCCCGAGCTTTGCACCCGCAGTATGGCTGTGCCATGCACCCAGCCTGGGTGACTCTGCTTTGTGAAGTGTTGCCGTATTTAGGACGATCACTGGCCATCATTGTATCACCCATAATTGCCCAGATCTGCAGGAACCTGGATGAGCTTGTTAAACAGCACGAGCACGATGGAATCAAAGCTTCACACAAGTAAGTAATGTGTGTGGTTGTTTGCATTTGTGTGAGAGCGGGTGCACATTAAGTGTTGACCGATAAGGTGTCAATAAATACTTTTTGTTGTTTTATTGCAACCATAGCTTGAATTGAATGCATATTTCGTTGTTCTCTTTAGTGGTACCTTAAAGAGGGAGAACATAGCGCCTGACTATCCTTTGACACTACTGGAAGGACTGACCACTATCACACACTACTGTCTTCTAGACCACAAGAAAGTAAGACATAAAAGCACCTGCTAAAGCAAATAGTGGCGGATCCTGGCAAAGGTGACTTGGACATTCATTTAGGGAGCCAAATTTCTGTTGTGTCATCCATTCACACTGACAGTGATTACATTTCTGAAGGTCACTAAGTCACTTTCATGTTGGTTGTACAGCACTGTAGGTTTATTTGCGAAAACTGTCTACAGTTTGGCATATCACAGTCAGTGTGAACGAATCACATTATAAAATTCAACCAAATACTCTTCTTTTCTTAATATAAATCCATTGACATACAGTTGTAGTTGCAAACAAGTCTGATCTTGCCATGGGTATCAAAAATGCCAGGATTGCCACTGAAACTTCAAAACACTAATGTGACTGTTTTGTTTTGTTCTGTTCACATCTGTTTTGTTTTGTTTTGTTTTGTTCTGTTCTCATCTGTTTTGTTTTGTTTTGTTTTGTTTTGTTTTGTTTTGTTTTGTTCTGTTCTCATCTGTTTTGTTTTGCTTTGTTTTGTTTTGTTTTTTGTTTTGTAGACTGCAGGCTGTGATGTTCCAGACCTACGAAATGCTAGTAATGCCATTCTGGAGGAGTTTCCGCACATGATTAGCAGCATGGCCTTACTCTGGGGTGTGGTCAAGGGCTGTGACTCCACCCATGGCAGCAGAGCCTCACCCACCTCTGTGTATTTTAAAGGCACAAAGGTATATTTGATACATGAACTAAACAAAAATTGTTTACATAAAGATGTTGCTGTATTGTTGTCCGCTTAGTGGTGCCAGTCATGTGTTTTTGTTCTCTGTAGATCTTGAGGCAAAAGGTTCTGGAGTTCTTGATGCCACTGACTCAGCAGTTTGGGGTGCAGGTCATGGCCTCTGTGGCCGCTGTATGGAGTAGCAGGAAGAGTCGCAAAAGACGTTCCAGAAACAAGGTGAACAATAGATATCAGAATGCAAAATTACATATCCAGTAGGTGTCTGGAATTATGTTTTTACATTTTGTGTGTGTTTGTGTACGCATACATAGATTTTACCAGATGCTAGTGATTCTCAAATGACCTTGGTGGACCTAGTGAAGGCACTAAACACACTCCGTACGGACACCATATTGCAGCTCATCAGAGAGGTGGTGAAGAAACCCCATCAGATCAAAGGAGATCAGGTACTGCATGCACACATTTACGTAGCAGTCTAAATGGTGACATTCCATATAAAAATCTTTTGTTTTTATATACAGCTAGTTATAAGTACTATATCCTAACCCTAAGAAAAAATTATCTGCATTTTTACAATTAAAAAAAAATGGTACATTTACCTGTAGAATTACATCATTTATTAATGTTTACTCTCTAATTATTAGAAGACTGCATTAGTTGACATTCCAATGCTACAGTTCAGCTACGTCTACATTCAAAGGTAACATCATTCTCATATTTTAATTGTACCTTATATTATTTGCTATCATATGATGTCATTTACTTTAAAATTACCAAAGTCTAGTGAACTGTTGAAATCTAATTCATGCCGATGGCTAAAGTTAATGCTACTTAATGGAAGATCCACCCTCGACTATATTCTTGTACAAGGTGAATGTTTTTAGTGCAATATTGATGGAAATGTCCTATATGGTCTTTTTTGCAGTCTCACTGCTCAAGCTCTTCAGGAGAACATCAATCCTCTCCTCTGTCTGCTCAGAGAATCTATCCAGCTTAATCTCGCCCCTCCTGGACAGTTCTTGCTCCTCGGGTAAATAAAATTATGTGGTCACTATTACGTTTTCTCATACTTAGGTTCAGAGATTTGAACAAACCCTAATCTTAAATATTAACCTCTGGTGCATAACATGTCCTGGACCGTTTGGTGCCAGTACAACCAGTGCAAATAGACCAGTATGAAACTGCCTAGTTGTCTAATGCAACATTTCAAGAAGAAGGCAGCCAGAAAACTCTTTTAGAGATCTGTTAATAATTACATGAAACAATTGTTAGATATTATTGAAAGGTAAAACATCTTTTGAAACTCCAATCTTTGTTTATTTTACTATTGCAGCATCCTTAATGACTGTGTAAATAGACTTCCCAATATTGACAACAAGAGGGATACTAAAGAACTGCAGGTAAGACCGGTACAGCGAGAGAGAGCAAAACCAGTATTGTGTTGATATAGTAAGTGAAAACTAAAAGTTTAAACAGACATGTCTTGCTGCTCATTGTCTGGATTGCTAAGCAGGAGAAAAACATAACCCAGCATATTTCTTTACTGACCTGTTAAAGTACATAGTAATTGTACTGTCAACAGGAAGTGAGCCAGCGCATACTAGAAGCTGTGGGAGCTGTGGCTGGCTCGTCTCTTGAGCAGACTAGCTGGCTGAGTCGTAACCTGGAAGTGAAAGCACAGCCTCAAGTCTGTCTTCAGGGAGATGAAGATGACCATGATGCCAATGAGTTTGAGGGTAAACCTACACTGAAATACATGTGCTTTCAGTATAATGCCCATTGCTGTATTGCAGATATAATCTGATAATAATACTGCCTAGCTATATTGTCTACTGTGAACAGAGGCAGTATTAAAATGTACTCGGTTCTGTCTTTCTCTCAGAGTGTGCAGGCCAGGGCAGTGCTATGGTGTCATCTTCAGCACCATCTGTATTCAGTGTACAAGCTCTGGTTCTGCTTGCTGAGGTAAGAGACAAGAAGAAATGCACACACACAGGGCTCTAGATGTAATTGAATGGAATTTGTTGTAGCAATATTGGGTGGGAAAAAAGAAGAAAAACAATCTAAATGCCTTTAATGCAAAAATGATATGCAATGCAGAAATAATAAGAAAATATAATTGTATTAATTAAATTATAAAGTGCAGTTGTAAGTAAACATGGCAGTATTTATTTGACTGAATTTAATTTATGCTGATGTGATTAGACAAAATCGACAGGTATCAAGAATTTCAGAATTTCAACAGATAAACAGTGTGTTCTCATTTGTGCTAATTATTTGTAGGTTCTGGCTCCTCTTTTGGACATGGTCTATCGCAGTGATGAGAAGGAGAAAGCCGTGCCTCTTATTTCCCGTCTTATGTATTACGTTTTTCCCTATCTAAAAAATCACAGGTGAGTATGCCAAAAATTATACACTTGCGATAGTGATTAAAAATGCTTAGTTAGTGCTCAATTAGAAAGCTTTGGTCTATTCATTGTTAATTTGGCAGTGGCCATATGTATGGCAGTTTTCATTTAAAACTCACTCATTTCTCAATTTCTATTTCTCAGTGCCTATAACGTGCCTAGTTTCTGTGCGGGTGCTCAGTTGTTGAGCAGTCTGAGTGGATATGCCTACACTAAGCGAGCATGGAAGAAAGAGGTGCTGGAACTCTTCATGGACCCAATGTTTTTCACAATGGAGTCCTTGTGTTCCTGCCAGTAAGATACACTTGCACAACATTCAAAATTTTCAAGGCATGCTGATAATGTCAAAATGGTCAAATATTGCTCAAATCATTTTCCTAACCTATGCTCAGTGCTCACCAAGGCTGCATTTATTTGATCAAAAATACAGTAAAAACAGTAATATTTTGAAATAATATTACAATTTAAAATAACTGTTTTCTACTCCAAAATATTTTGAAATGTAATGTATTCCTGTAATGGCAAACCTGAATTTTTTTTAGAAGCCATTACTCCAGTCACATGATTTACGTAGTACTCTGTTGTTAATAATGTTTCTAATTATTATCAATGTTAAAAATAGTTTTTGCTGCTAAATATTTTTGTGAAAAACATGATGGTTGTTTTTCAAGATTATTTGATGAATAGAAATAAAATAAAAAAACATTTATTTAAATTGTACTAATATTTGGCAATATTACTGTTTTAACTGTATTTTTGACCAAATAAATGCAGCAAATAAACAACAAAATCAAGAGTTTGATGTTGAAGCCACTAAACTCACATATTGTGCTTTAGTTGGAGATCCATCATAGACCATCTTCTGACTCATGAAAAGACAATGTTCAAAGACTTGATGAGTGAGTATATGTACATTCTTTTGCATTAGTTATTTTGTGTATGATCAGTGTATTGACTTGTATTGTGTGTGTTCATGTTGTACCATGTGCAGGCATGCAGAGCAGTTCTTTGAAGCTCTTCAACAGCGCTGAGCAGAAGCCTATGTTACTGAAACGACAGGCTTTTGCCGTGTTTAGTGGAGAGAATGACCAGTACCACTTCTATTTGCCTCTCATTCAAGGTATCACTCAGTCTGTGGAAAACAAATAAAGGTTTCTTGTAAAGTACAATAGAAAAATGTCCAGCTAACACTTTCTTTATCAAATATATTCTAGAGCGTCTAACAGAGAACCTGCGTGTGGGACAGACCCCATCAGTGTCAGCCCAGATGTTCCTCATGTTCCGTGTTCTCCTGCTGAGGATCTCACCACAACATCTCACCTCTCTCTGGCCAATCATGGTCACTGAGCTGGTAAGAAATACGCTGCACTAAGAGTATTTGTTTTTTGGTTGCTTTCAAATGCTTAATCAGTTGTTTTGCATGTTATTTCTGGGTGCAGTTTGAATATTTGTTTAATATTTCAGATACGCAGTTTTAACCGCCTTCAGAAGACACTACTGGATGATAAAGTTTCAAAGTGAGTCTTCCTTTTTGAAAAATGATGTTAGTATGTATTTTGGCCCTTCATTTAAAAAATATATATCTTTCTGTTTCAGGAGTAAATTGCGGGGTGGCAATGACAAGAATGGTCTACTCTTCCCTCAGGCAGAGCTGGACATGTACCTGTCAGCCTGCAAGTTCCTGGACACCGCTGTGTCCTTCCCTCCTGAGCACATGCCTCTGTTTCAAATGTGAGACTCCAGTGAACTGTGTGTTTGCATGTTTGGCACCGTTTACTCTTGCCATAGCAGTGATAAATAAGAAAAAAAATGTATGAATTGTCAAATTTTAGTTTACTTAAACTTCTTAAGAACAGAATCAGTGGCCACATGAGAAAATATACACTACTGTTCAAAGTTTTGGGGGTCAGTAAGATTTTTTTTTTTAAAGAAATTTTTACTGTTTTCAGCAAGGATAAATTAAATCGATTCGAAATGGCAGTGAATACATTTTTAAATGTTTGAATATCAAACAAATGCAATTATTTCGAAGTTTCTATTCATCAGATAATCCTGAAGTACATCAGATTAAAATACATCGTTTTCTACAAAAATATTAAGCAGCACAACTATTTTCAGTATTGATAATAGTAATAAATGTTTCTTGAGCTCCAAATCAGCATGTTAGAATGATTTCTGAAGGATTATGTGACACTGAAAACTGAAGTAATGGCTGCTGAATCAGGAATAAATTACATTTTAAAATATTTTAAAATGTAATAATATTTTACAATATTACTGTTTTTATATGCAGCTCTAGTGAGCATAAGACGCTTATTTTAAAAACATTTAAAAATCTTATCAACCCCAAACTATAGTGTATGTAAGAATTAAAGGGTTAGTTCACTCAAAGTTTACAATTGTGTCATCATTTACTTGCCCTCACATCTTTTAAAGCCACTATTTTCCGTACAGTGAAAATGGTTTAATTCTACTGCCAAAATAACCCCAAAAATCACCATTCAAGTTTATACGACTGTGCTAAATTCTAAGCTTTCTGTCAGAGAATATATCAGACTTGAAATCTACATTGTGTGGACCAAATGTCCCCACAAGGATAGTAAAACCTGAAATTATTGACATTGTGGGGACCGGCCTGCGGTCTCCATGAGGGAAAAACTTATTAAAAATAGTAAATGATGTTTATCTGAAAGTGTAACAATGCAAACAGGTTTTCTGTAAGGGGTAGGTTTAGGGTTAGGGGATAGAAAATATTGTTTGGTCAGTATAAAAGTAATAGAAGTCTATGGAAAGTCCCCACAATTCACAGAAACAAACGTGTGTGTGTGTGTTAGCTCTTTTACATTATTAACCTAAGTGGACTGTCATAGTTGCCCCAACATTGACAGCTATCAGTAAAGGTCAATAGGTTCCCTCTTACTTCTAGGTGACCTTTAATGCCTGACCCAACAAAAATGGCTTCTGATCTGCTCCACACCATAACATTCATTGTTCATGATCTGTTAATATCTGAACTTTATGTATGTATGTATTTGTTTGTTTGCAGGTATCGCTGGGCTTTCATTCCTGAAGTAGATGTCGACCATTATGATGGACCAGGAAACGCTCTGCTGGAAGGTGAACAAGAGTGTAAACCGCATATTGTTAGGATCCTGGATGGAATAAACCGACGCTATGGGGTAAGATCTCCATGCACAGAAACACATGCTTCAATGTATCTGTGAAAGAGCATCAGTGAACCAGTAAATATGGTGCTTTTTCACAAATAGACCCAATTCTCAGTCTGTAATTATCTTGAATGTGTGTTCAGGAGCTGAATGGAACAGCTGGAGAGTCAAGCACAGATCGAGTGGAGTTTCCTCTGCTCACACTACGTTCTCTCTGCTCTATCGTGGATCTCGTCCCGTTCTTCAGCACCCTGTGCTGCTCTTTTAATGGCTCCTCCACACACCTCCCGCATTATGCCGCCGACTACCCACCGCCCAGTAGTGATCAGGTCATGAAACGCCTAGAGCACATCATTGAAGGAGAGTTCCTCGATGGACTGGACAGTTAGATGATAGATCACATTCTAATCTTAAAATGTTTTGCTCAACTTCTGTAATTGCTTTTGTAATTGATGTAATTGGTTTCTCTTTGAAGACAAAAGTGCAATGAAATTTCTTTGTAGCATAATAGTTTACATGAAATGTATAAAGGACCCTGCTAATTTTCGTGTTATAATCTTAATCAATGCACGTAAAGTTGTTTAAGGTTTCTAGAATGTTATGACCATTCTGAGTCATACACGCTGTGAATGTATATCATCTTTGTATTTTAATCTGACTTAAGGTGGGCGTTCTGTTCATTCTGTGCACATTCCATTACTGTTTGTTTCTGAATGAGCCAAATGAAAGATTATGTGGCCATGTTTCATTGGCCATAATGGTCAAAACAAACAGTTAAAGCATTTATTGATTGAATTTTTTTTACTTGTATGTAGGGCTATTAGTAATTTCTTTACTTGATATCCCTTTGCAGTATTTTCTTTCTGTACTTTCTGACCTCTGTTTTTTTTCCTGCAAGCTCATCTATCTGTTGGGAAATATTGACAATGTTAGTTGTTTATCGTCTAGTGTCCGTTTGTAAGACTTTGTTGCATTCTGTATGTCTTTTATTCTGCTATGTTTCTCCACTCACTTTAAATTAAAGATAATATGTATCTTTATTCTAATTATGTGGATATTGAATGTCTTCTTTTCTGTGTAGAATCAATACTCTGTTAATATTTACAGCAAAGGAATTGTAATGCACATTTTTATTCCTGTACCCAAGTGAATGTTTTTGATCCATGTTTGTTTTTCATTATTTGTAGGACCTCAAGGACGTTTTTATGCTGTTGCTTTTTAATTTTAGAGTGCACCTGATTTGACAGTTATAGTCTTAGTCTCAAATGTTACTGCTAGTTTACTACCTTGGCCTTTGATTGAAGTGCCTAAAAATAAATGCTCTAGTTATGGAACATCTTTGCTCGTTCTGTAGTTGCTATGTGCAATATAGCAACTACAAATAAGCTTCAAATAAGAAGCTTATATTTCCTATTAACAGCAGTAAAGAGTGATAATTTTACTGAAGTGATAGCAGAATTAATGGCACTATGAAAACATAAAGACGTCCACAGCCTCACTCCATGTTATTTAGTGGTTTGTTCTCTGGAATGTTGTCAATTTAATTTTTCTTGAGGAAAAATATGTTAATGCTTACTAAAGTGATTTATGCGTATGTTCTGCACATATGAATAAAATGACCCTGAACCAGAGAGTGTTTGTGGCTTTTTGGTCTGTCCTTAAACCGGCCATTTTAGACTGAAATTTTTTACGTTTTGAATTTTTAAGCTTTTTTACTTCATCAGAATTGCACAAAACTTGTTCACCTTTGTAGCACTTTTACACACAAAAAAAGTGGACATTATAAAAAAGGCTAAATGTTCTTAAAAATAAAGTCACACTACAGTCAAAAATGATCACCATGGGGAATGAATGGAAAAAACAAAATATAGAGCCATTTTTGGGGGTACATCAGTACCCTACATGATAAAGTAGTCTTTGATAATGACTAAATATCCAAATACAAAATCTAATAAAAAGTAAGTAAAATAATTTTAAATAAATATTTATGTCTACATTGTCAATGTATTTATTTAGTGAGTGGCCATAAAAAAACAGGACCGTGAAAAGCAGCTTTATCACAAAATAAGGCAGGGTGAGTCCTACTGCTTTCTCCAGTGAGAAGTCGGGAAAGAAATATGCACATCAAGCACCATTTACAAGCAAGCTCAGAAACAAATAGGCTATGTCAGTGGATTTTGATGTGAGAGGACATCAGGGGATGGACTTTTTCCACTGTAGGACGGTTTAAAATTAAAATGCATTGCAATGGGGCTGTTTGAATTCTTGAATCTGATTTGCTGATTAACGGTCTAAAGCATGCAAATATTGACTGCATTACATGTCACTTCCCCAAATGATTTCCGTTATTCCAACGGTCTTTACAGCCTACAACAGCACCAAACCCCAAGCAAATAAATATAGTAAACAAGAGGATACATATGACAAATTATTTCCATGTTTTTGCCACAAAATTACGTTTTATCAGGTACCCCCACTCTCCCTCCCATACAAACGCACACACGTACACGCAGAAACGTGTTGTCAGCGCAGCTCTTACGATTTTATCAGTAAAATAGTTTAGCAACTTAAAAGCTGCATATTTCTCACTAGCGAGGAAATACGCTGCTGCTCTTGAAGCAGATGAATTTACAGTTTCGATATTAGTAGAGCCGCTGCTGCCGAATTACTTGTGGATTATTGTGATGTTTTTATCAGCTGTTTGGACTGATGACACCCATTCATCTCAGAGGATCCATTTCTCCAAATCTGAAGAAATAGACATTATCCACGTCTTCGATGGCCTGAGGGTGAGTAAATTTTCAGCAAGTTTTCATAATAAACAAATACAAAATAACAGTATTTTAATGCAAATAATCAAATTGTCGTGAATCCGGTCCCTGTTGTTCCTCCCAGTCGCCATCAGAGGGCTCCATCACCTTTTCCTCCCGGACTCCATTATCCCTGTCTAGGCCTGCGTCCATTACCGCGGGAAGTAGGGGTGCTGAGGGTGCTGCAGCACCCCCTGGAGTGTAGCCCACGAAAAAATGGGGGTGCTGGGGGTGCGGTGTTAAAAATAAATGAATGAACAATATGTAATACAAAATAAATAATATTCATTTTATTAATTAGTATATTCATTAAAATTCATTGAAAAAAAGTAGCCTAAGCCTACAATGTCAAGAAGCAACGGTTAAATATGAGTTAAGTTGAATAATTTGAGTTGAATTACTGAAATAAATGAACTTTTCCATGACATTCTAATTTATTGAGATGCACCTGTAAGTCTTGTTTTGCTCTTGCTAACATTTCTTGCGTTCACCCTTGTTTCTTGTGGTTGTGATCTTGGACTGTTTCCCTGGTTTTTGATTGTTTGCTGTCTGCCCTGATCAGAGGTGTCAAGTAACGAAGTACAAATACTTTAAGCCTGCCCTGGGTACACCAATTTTCTTGTCCGTTGCCCTCACAGATTCCTGCAGCTAAGCTTGGATGTACATTTACATTCCAATAAAGGTTATTGATGACATGCCTCTGAAGTTTGACTTTTTGCACCATTACAATACTTATAGGCAACTAGTCATCATATCTTCCGCTCCATGAAACACGTTAATGCTCAGTAGTACACATATATGGTTCTTTAATGTATTTGCATTGTACTAAAATGCGTTCATTTTCAATGGGCATATATGCGGCTGAAACAGGTAGCCTAGTGCATCCCAAATTTTTCAACATTAACATTTTAATATAACATTATAGTCATTATGGCCTTTAGAAAAATGTTTTTTTTGAGGAGGTGGGGTAGTGCACAATAGGCCCCTGTGGCGCGGCCTAAGCTTTTGTCCTTAATGGCATTTTTTTCCCTTACATTACTTTTACTTTTATACTTTAAGTAGTTTTGAAACCAGTACTTTTACACTTTTACTTGAGTAAAAAGCTTGAGTTGATACTTCAACTTCTACGGAAGTCTTTTTAAACCCTAGTATCTATACTTCTACCTGAGTAATGAATGTGAATACTTTTGACACCAGTGGCCCTGATCCTCCTCTGTTTTGTGGATTAGCCTACTCTTGCCTTGCCTCTGCTATTGTGTTTTACTGGTGTTTGAAGTATTCTTGGATAGCTGTAATTCTTATCAGAATTATAAGGCCTGGTTCTTCAATGCGGTCAGAGAAGTCACCTGAGGATAATTTTGGTGTCGGCAGACAGCTGGTTTAACTTAAAGGGGTCATATGGGCTGCAGCCAAGGGGCCCCACGTGTGCAGGGGCCTCGGATTGGCCAGACAGCTTTTTTATTATTTTAAATTTACTTCAGCGCGAACAAAAAAGACCCTCATTGGCCCATAAGAAACATTAAAGGAGGAATCATTGCAGAGCGTCTGACAAAATTAACATCTTGTATTGTAGAATGCACGCACTGCACTGCAGAGTTCGCGCGATCGTTAATTCGAAACCTTAAGTAAAACGGCCATCATCCATCTGTCCTGTGAAAGACACTTGAAGCAGTCATCATGTGAGCATACCTCTGCAGTCGCTGGAACTCTGTGCCTCTCTCCACTTCTCTCCCCTCAGATCCTCTGTCAAATAAACATCATTACTTACCTGTACCTACCCGTTTGGTCTCCCTCTGTACTGTGACACTTACATAGCCCTGTTCCTTTTCAGCACTACACAAAGTTATTGTCTTGTCTTGTCATGAAGGTAAGGTCGTACAAATTTACGAATTAACCGCTCGTTTTAAAATCTTACAGACATCCACTTCAAACAATCAGAGGTGTAAAGAGTACCTAAAAACCGTACTTGAGTAAAAGTACAGATACCTTACAGTGAAATTACTCCACTACACGTTACAAGTCACCAATTCCAAAACAACTTGAGTAAAAGCCTTCGAGTATCTGATTTTAACAGTACTTAAGTATTTTACTTATACTAAATATAGGCTCAAAAAATGCACTAGTCAAAGAGATTTGCCAGTGAAAAACTAATGTTGTGGAGAAGCTGGGGAAAAAGGCAGAGGCAAGGATCTGTGTGCAGGTATTTAATGTAAAAACTAGAACAAACAAGCCAAAAACCAAAGGGAACAAAGAACAGAATGACTGGCAAACAGACAACAATTAGGCCTACATTAAACAACTCACAAGGACCTAAAGAAAAACTAGGGCTATATATACACACGGGGCTAACAAGCTTAAAGACCCGTTCACACCAAGAATGATAACTATAATGATATTAGCGTCCACACCAGCGGACGATATCGTCTGATTATTCTAAGCATACACTCGTCTGTCGCTTTAAATTCTCGAGCTTGTGATTGGCTGTCAATGTTTTTATCGTTCATCTGCTGGAAAAAATCGTTCTGAAAATGATTCCAACGATATCGTTTCTCTGTCTTAATCGTTATAGCTGTGCTTCTATTCTTTAAT